ATTTGAATATTATTAATAATAAAATTAATAATAATAGTAATAGTAATACTAATACCAATAAGAATAATATGACCATGTCTACGAATAATAAGAATAATAAGACGAAAACTAAGAATACTAAGGATATGAATAAGCATGCGAATCAGAAGAACAATAATAAGAAGCAGAAGGCCCCGCATAACACTATTAAGAGTACTAATATCACTATTAATATCAATACGACTAACAACACCACTAATACGAACAATAAACATACGAATACTAATACTAATAATACTGATGGCACGAATACTAACAGTAATACTAGGAATACTAGTAATAATACGAATAACAATAACAATACTAATAATAATAATGGTAATAATAATAATCATGATAATAATAACAATATTAATAAAACAATTGTAATAATAATAAGAATACTAATAATACTAATAATAATACTAATAATACTGATAATACTGATAATGATAATAAGTTTAATAATAATACTAATAATAATACTACTAATCGTAATAATAAAACAATAATAATAGTAATACGAATAATAATAATAAGAATTACTAATAGTAATAATAAGAATACTAATTGCTAATAGTAATAACAATAATTAAGTTATATTAATACCACTCTTATTACTAATAATACTAATAATACGAATACTACTAATAATACTAATACTATATTACTAGTAGTAATAATAACACTAACAATACTACTGCTACTAATAATAATAATAATAATAGAAAACTATCTATAATAATAAACAGAAGCGGAGGAGGAGGAGGACGGGGAGGAGGAGGAGGAGGAGGAAGAGGTTGAGGAGGAGGAGGCGGAGGAGGAGGAGGAGGAAGAGGAGGAGGAGGAGGAGGGGGAGGACGAGGACGAGGACGAGGAGGAGAGGGCAGAGGAGAAAAATGAGGAGGAAGAGGAGGACGAATAGGCACGAGGGAGAGGGGATGGGGGTGGGGGTGCCTGCCCCTCTGCGTCGTCGTCCCCCTCCTCCTCCTCCTCCTCCTCCTCCTCCTCCTCCTGCTCCTCCCCCTCCGTCCCCTGGTCCTCTTGCACCTCCTGCTGCTGCTGGTGCTGCTGCTGGTGTTGCTGCTGCTACTCCTCCTTCTCCTCCTCCTGCTTGTCGTCCTCCTGCTCCTCCTCTCCCCCCTGCCCTCCCCCATCTCCCCCTCCTCCTCCTCCTCCTCCTCCTCCTCCTCCTCCTCCTCCTCCTCCTTCTCCCCCTCTTTCTCCTCCTGCCCCTTCTCTTCCTGCTCCTTGGCGCCAGGTCCTGGGGCCGCGCTTTCGGGGCCGAGGAGGGGTCCAGGGATCGTGGAGGATTCCAGGGGCCGAAGATGGATCCACAGGCGTCAACGCGGCTCCCCAGAGCCAGTACTGCGAGAACTACCTCCTCCGTGGTGGTGGCGGCCATGGTTGATTTCAGGCGTGCTGTGGATGGGCTCGATGCGGTTGTCAATGGCAGGCTCGTGATTGCGGGTGCCAGCTGTTCCCTTGCGCAGGATATTGCGCGTACGCTTGGGCTCCCAGCTTCGGTCGCCCGCCGCAGCGCTGTCTACGTCGGTGTCGACGTCAGCGAGGGCAGCCGCCGCTAGGAGAAGGGAGTGCTATTCACGCGGGTCAAGCGTCGCCAGCACATGGTGAAGCGCTTGCGGAAGCTCAAGCGTTTCGGCAAGGTCATGTCTGGCAACGGGGCCAAGTCCATCGTTGCAGTCGTCCGCGCTGGTGCCATGGCCGAGGCCACCTACGGCAGCGAGGTCGTCGGCTTCAGCAGCGCGGAGTGGCTCCAGTGCCGCCGGGACGTAGCTCGAGGGCAGCTCCCTGTGCACGGTGGCGCGAGCCCCGCCAGCAAGGCGGTGCTGTTCGGCGATTGGGCGGGAGCGTCAGCCATCGCGCTTGCGATCCAGTGGCGCAGGATGCTCTGGCAGTCTGAGGTCTGCGATCGCCCGCTGGCCACTCGTGCGCGCCTGCTTCGGCTCTGGCGAGACGCCAAGCCCTGTGGGGCCAAGGGCTGGCCTTCCAGTCGCGGGCCGCCTTCTCGCGCTGTTCTGGCTGTGCGTCGAGCTGGGTGGAGCGTGCTCTCTGCGACTAGACGGCTGGACCATAGGGGTCCCGCCGTAGACGTCAGTCGCACGCTCCCTAGCACGCTTTCTGTTCTCATGTTGGCATGAATTCAAAGGCACCGCGAGCTTTCTTTAGCAGCGCGGTTTGGAGCTCCACAAGGATCCAGGGCCTCGCTCGACCTCGTTCGAACGGTGTTCAGTGATCGGTCGCGCCGGTTTTCTGGCCTCGCGAGATTCTTGATCGGGGGCTGCTCTTGCCGCGGTGTCAGGACCAAGGCCCGCGCCCAAGCTGCTGGCCACCTCCGTGACGGTCTCTGCGCTTGTGGCCAGAGCCAAACTCTCTAGCATTGCCTGCGCGACTGCGCGCTACCCGAGGTAGTGGCCGCTCGTGCCGAGTCCACGGCCAGTTCGTTGTCTTTGCAGGCTGGACTTCAGTCAGGTGGCCCTATATTTGTGCAAGGAGTGTTTGTGCATTATGAAAAGGATGTGCCCCCCCTCCCCCTTCCCGCACAGGCCGGGTGGTCCTGGAAGGCCCCCGGGGGGAGGCAGTATACGTGGAGGTCGAAGGCGTCGCATCCTTCGTCCAGGGGCCGCGACTCGATGTCGCTCCCGATGGGTTGTGCGCGCGACCAGGCTTAGCTGAGCTGGTGCGCGCATCCTGGTCCATCGCTGTCTTTTTTCCCCTGCGTCAGATGTGCCCGTCGTTATTTTGCATGGGCCTGTGGCTGGTTACCTCCCTCAGACTCCGAGCATCGCTGAAAGCGCGGCTATCTGCGTAATTGGCCAGATCGCCGACCGCGAGACCATGGCTGCCAGCGAGTGCATGGCGGCGGTTCGTCGGTTCCAGCAGCCTGCGTCCAATGAGTTGCGCGCGTCCAGCCAGGCTGCAGGTGTATTAAATTCCGGTCGTGGCTTCGAGGGCCGCCAGCCATCTCGGCTCTTCATGTCAAGGCTCATCGTTCGCAGGAGCAGATCGAGTCTAGATGCCGAGGAGCGCCACTGGGCGGTGGTCAACAGGATCGCCGATCATCATGCGAAGCTTGCCTCCAGCTTCTCCCCCCTGCACCGGAGTTTTTGGAATCGCTCGATCTCTCGAGGAGTCGGTTTGCCGATGTTGTGGCTCCAGCTGGTGCCGTCTTCCCTGGTTTCTTCGAGGACAGCCCTCAGCGCTGGCGTCGACCTGCGGTGTTGAGATGTAAAATGAACTCGTGGGGGGGGCACTCTTGGGGGTGGAGTGAACTGGGCTAGCAACGTGCCTTTGTATCAAGGTTGCGCCGTCGTGCTGCAACCTGCCGATGAATAGATACCTTGGGACCCCGTCGTTTCTGAAACCCCTCGCGGAAGACCCTCTCGGGCACCAGCTGGTTGCCGTGTCGGGCTCTCGTCTTGCCCCCCTGCGTCCGTGCAGTGCAGTGCCGGGAGGGAGGAAACCAGGCGCGGGTCCCTGCTGCGCGTGAAGTGCGGGGGGTGGAGCCAGGAGACGGCCACTAAGCTGGCCAGAGATTGTGCCCCCCCGACTCGCACAGGCGAAATGATTTTGTCTCGTTTTCGGCGGGGGCTGGCCCCCAACCCTCGAATCCGTGCGGTGATCGATCGGGGCATCCCCGCTCTTCGCGTCGGTGTGTTGGTCGCGTCCGTTCGGGGCGTCGTGCCCAGAACCACCGTCGCAAGCAGTGCCACATGTGCTTTGGACAGCGCTGTCCCGTATGAAGCTCGATTGGCCCGCCTCCATGAGCGAATCCGAGCTCGTGAAGAGGCCCGTCGGCTGCCCTACTCGGGGCGGCGTGCACCTGCCAAACATCCCCTTCGATGGTGCACATCCCAAAATTTTGTGTCGGGCTGGTCCCTTCCTCCCTGGACGTCCCTGGGAACCGTCTTATCCTATCTCGTCTCCACTTCCTCCTCCTCTTCCTCCTCCTCCTCCTCCACTTCCTCCTCCTCCTCCTCCTCACCCTCCTCATCCTCCTCCACTTCCTCCTCCTCCTTCTCCTCCTCCTCCTCCTCCGCCCATTTTTCCTCCTAGCCAGCTCCGGACCCTGCTCCTGCTCCCCCCATGTTCCTGTTTCCCTCTTTGAAGAAAAGCAGCAAACATACGGTCGGACCAAGGTGTAAGATCGACGTCGGTTCGGGAAGGGTGCCCTAATTAGGAGAACGCGAAATGACATAAACATAAAAACTCGGAGGTCCGTGCGGATTGCTTGGGTCAGCGTTGGACCCCCCTCCCTGGCGCGCCCCGCGCACCAGGGGCGGCGCTGGAGGCGCTGCCAGCGGGCCCGAGCGCCGATCCGAGACATCCGAGACATCCGTGCGGACCTTCGAGTTATTATGTTTATGTCACTGTTCATGCCCCTACTGATGTCCCTCGAATTTGTTGGACGTTCTTGTGCATCCTGAGGAGGGTGCCCGTGGATGTTCTGCGTGTCGGGCCTCCTGCTTTGCAAGGACGTTCTTGTGTCCGAGGTCCGACTGTAAGCTCTTGGCGGTCCGCATGGGTTTCTCGGAGCAGCGTTGGGGCCCCCTGGCGGCGCCAGGGGGTCCCAGCGCAGACTCAAGAAGTCCGCACGGGCCGTCAAACATTTATGCCTGTGCCGTGCTTTGTTGCTCCACAGTGGAGGTCCATGCCAAGAAACACCCCGCTTGCCTCCAGGGTGCCCTGGGTTTTGGGTTTCGAGGGTTCTGCCTTTGAAAGCGCGACGCTCCCGTATCAAAAACCAGTGGACGTCCTGGGGTCTCAGGGTTGGGTTTCTTGTGGAAGTTTTCTTGTGGTCGGGCCTCCACTGCATGTCTGTGCCGTTTTTTGGTGCTCTGTCCTCGTCGCCTCCTCCTGCCGCTGCGGTTGCTCCTCCTCCTCCTCCTCCTCCTCCGCCTCCTCTTCACTCTTCACCTCCTGCTGCTGCTCCTGCTGCGCCTCGTTCGCCCTATGTACGTAGCCATTTGTGCTCGAGCTGCTTCGGCTCAAGTCGCGCCTTGCCACGATCCCGTGGCGGCATGCGCGGGGCGCTTTCTTGACACTTCCTGACCATGAGCGGCATGGAGATGCCGTTAGTCGATGCCCCTGCCCAGCAGGGCATGCAGGTGAGCAACTTCGAGGCATGGTCAGCAGACGATGTTGCCGAGTATTTTTCACAGCGCGGGTATCAGCAGTACAAGGCGTTGTTCGTGAAGCACGACCTCACTGGGCAGCGCGTGATTCTGTTGACGCCGCCTGATATCGAGAAGATGGGCATTGAGATCATTGGTCACCGCCTTGGCATACAAAAGGAGCTTCGTTCGCTGAAGAGTGCTGCGCGAGCTGTAGTACGCAATAAAGTCATTGCCCAAGAGGAGGAGGCATTCGACGGCTCATGCGTGAAGCGATATTTACAAACATGTTGCGGCCTCTTCCCTCTCGAGAGAGACGTGTATGTCCTTACCACGACCACCCTGAAGATCAAGGACTACGAGGTGGCGAGGTGCTTCAGGACGAAGTGTCCGTGCATGGGTGGATCGTGGTCCAATGACGCCGTGCCTTTGCAAAAGATCCTCGGGGTGGAGACGCTGATGTCCACGCAAGGAATGGCATGTTTTCTTGAGCACAAGTGTACCATTTTGCTTGCGGTGAGCGCTGGGACTGGGGCCGAGACAGAGGAGTCCAGGGTCGAGCAGAAGGTGCTGTTCGTCGAGGGTGACCGCGGAGAGTCGTTCGCGAATCGGATCCGTAACCAGATCGAGGAGTACAAGGTGTTTTCCCATGGCGACGCTGACGTGGCATGAGGCTGGCACCGTGGCGCGAGTGAGCCGCTTGTCTTGCTCGGTGTCCAGTTGCACCGCCTCGCGTTCCCGCCACTGCGCCGGGGGAATCTTCGCAGCAACGGTGTGATTTGGCACAGTTGTGCCGCTGTTGTAGCGTTTTCGTTCGGGGGCGTCTTCGGGGCTTTGTGAGGGCTCCTTGGGACTTCTGTTGGGTTCCTCGCGGGCCTCTTCAAGACTCTTGGGTTCCACGTCGGGGCGTCCTGGAGGCCGTCTGGGGCGCCATCCTGGAGCCATCTTTGGTGCCTCCGGGGCTTTGGGAGGTCTCTGCTTCCTTTCGCAAACCTTGGACACGGCGCTTTCTGCCGCTGCTGCCCAACACCAGGGGGGGAGGGGGGTTCTGGCCCCCCTGCCTCCCTCGGGGAAACTAATCGCAGGGGTCCGGACGACGGCGTTGCCGCGGGCAAAAGACGCGGACGACGACGACGCTGCCGGCCGACGACGACGACGACCGCCGCCGCTGCCGCCGCCCCCACCACCTACGCCGCCAGTGCCGACGCCGACGCCGACACCGATGACGATGACGATGACAACGACAAAGACGACAACGACGGGGACGGCGACGAAGATGACGAAGACGACGACGACGACGTCGCCGCTGGCAAACGACGCCCTAGTGCGGTTCTATGAAACATGGACCGAGCCTACGTAGGATTCCATGTGGGCAGGACCCAGTTCTATACAGACATTGCGTTCATGTTGGGTCAAGCTTGCGCAGGATTTCGTCAGATCTCGACCCAGCCTCCATGCGATTCTAGTAGAGCAGGACCCAGTCGTAGTGGAATTCTATTAGAGTTAGTCCGAGCTCTCGGATCCCAATAGAGCTGGATCCAGTCCTACTCGGCTTCTGTTAGAGCTGGGCCCGGGCCAAAAGGAGTTTGATCGAGCCCGAGTAGGATTCTGCGAGTGCTGGATCGACCCCGAAATGGATGTTATTAGAGCTGCTTGGAGCCGTTAGCAGGATGCTAGCAGAGGTGGAAGGAGCCCTGGTGGGATTCGATTCGAGTTGGATCTGGCCTTGTGCAAATTCTCTGAAGGCCAGATCCAGCTTCAGCAAGATTGTGTCAGAGCTGGATCGACACCGGGAGAGATTTCTTCAGATTTGGTTCGAGCCTTTGTAGGATGCTATGAGAGCTGGGAAGATCCCAGATCGGATTTCATTCGTGATGGAAGCCGACATCCTTTGTTTGTCTTTCAGTATAGCCTGGTCGAGCCTTTAAACTGGACAAAGCCCGAACAAGATGTTATCAAACTGGATCGAGCCCTTTTGTAGGATTTTGTTGAAGTTTGGTCCAGCGCTTGATCCAGCCATATCAATCATATTCGATAGTGACTGGACCGCTTCCTAGTAGGATTACGCAAGATTTGAATCAGTCCTGGTAGGATTTGATCAGATCCAGCCCCTCTATGAATTCCCCCGTCGCTACACCCTGCCCCAATAAGAATTCGATTAGGGATGGAGCGAGCTCTGAGAGGATGCCATTGCAGTTGGATCGAGCCAGCGCAGGAGCCCTACTAGCATAATGCCAGAGTCGGCGCTGGGCGCGGGCGCCGGCGCCACTGACGTTGTCGCTGTCGTCGTCGTCGTCGTTATTGTCGTCGTGGTCGTTTTCCTCGTCGTATTCGTCGTCATCGTCGTCGTTGTTGTCTTCGTTGTCGTCGTCGTCGTCGTCTTTGTCGTTGTCGTTGTCTCCGGCGTCGGCGTCGGCGTCGGCGTCAGCGTCAGCTTCGTTTTGGTCGTCGTCCGTCGTCGTCGTCGTCGCCGTTGTCGTCCACGTCGTTTGCCAGTAGCGGCGCCGTCGTCGTCGATGTCGACATCGTTGCCACGGGGAGGAGGGGTGTCGAATCATTTTCATGGGGTGGGGGGTGGGAGCCTTGGGGGATTGTGGACGTCCCCGTTCTTTGAGGGATGGGACTGGGGGGGCGGCGGGGTCGGGGGGGATGGGGCACCCTGTTTTTTGATTTGTGGGGGAGCGGGGCGGTCCATTGCATTACGGCCCCCTTTATACAGTGAGCTCTGGCCAGCGAGGGTGGATCGCGCTCCCTCAAACTTTGGGATTGATGCAGCCAAGTGAACAAAAATCATTCGAATTTGGCCAGCTGAAGCCGGCCAGCTGGCCGAGTTCAGCGCGGCCGAGTTTTTCCCGGCCGAGTTTGGTTGCTCCCGCTCGGGGCCATCCTGGACAAGCTTCGGCGCTGCCGGCGCACGGCGAGACGCTCGAAGGGGCCCCCCTCGAGGCGCCCTCCCCCGCAGCACCCCGGAGGCACGGCTCAGATCTCCGAGGGCCGCCGGCGGCCGCAGTGGGTGCGGTTTGCGGTCGGCGCCGCTGCGTTTCTGGACGGTGTTGGACGATCCAGAGTCTCGGGGGTGGACAGAACCCCCAACAATGACACGTCGATTAGTGAATGGTCCGTTTTCGGTTCTCGAGAGGGCGCCGCGGCCGTTATTTTCCAGGCTGGCGCCCGCCAGGTTTGGGCCTCAGGTCGTTTTCACTAAACCACGTTCTACTAAAGGGAGGTCTGTCCATCCCCGAGAGTCGGCGTTCGGTCGGCGACCCCGAGCCTGTCGATAGTGGACGAGCTGACGTTTCGGAAGCGGCTGGTCGTGCAAGGTTGAACGAGGCCCGCTGCGTCAGGAGCCAGCGCCCGGGCCGACACGGTAGTCGGGAGGGGAAAAAACACACGGACACAATGAATCTTCGATTCCCCGGAAAATATAGGAAAATACGGGAAGTGGGGGGGAAGACAAAAACCCAGAAAATATGGGGAAATCTGTTTTTTTATTTGTGTGTATTTATTTGTGTGTCCCAGGGCCCCTTCAGATACGAAGCCGCGGTACGCCGGGTTGCGGTCTGCGGTCTGCGCCGCTGTGGCTGAGGGGCCACCGCGTTGCGCGCCAAACGTCTGACGAGCCCTCCTCGGGGCGCGGCAGAGATCTCTGCCGAGGTCGTCGCCCGACCCCCCGGGCGCGGGATGCAGATCACACCCTCGGAGCCGCCGAGATGGGAGGCTTGGGGGTGCGGGCTCGAAGTGAGACCCCACACCCCCGACGTCATGATTTTAGTAGCGCCGACTCCCAGAGGCCTCTGGACCCCTTCCCAGGGACCGGTTTCTCACATCCTGGGTCCTTTTCTGACGGCCCTGCAGTCCGGCGGATGGCCCACAGATGTCGTGGATGGCGAGAAGGCTGCCATCGTAAGACCGTGTCATGATTCCAGGGGTTCTGGGTGGAGGGTTTCTCTGGAGGGCTTGGGCGACCCGTCCTCCTCCTCCTCCTCCTTCTCCATCTCCTCCTTCTCCTCCACCTCCACCTCCTCCTCCTCCTCCACCTCCTCCTCCTCCTCCTCGGGTCGCCTACGGCCCCAGGGGAAACCGTGCAGCTTTTGGACGAAGTCACCCAGCCGGGACTTCGACGTCGGGCTTCGGTGCACGTCGCGCGCGGCATGCGAGGCGGGCGAGGCGAGGCGAGGTTGCGCGGGCCCCTGCCCCAGCAGAGGCCACGTCGTTGGGTTGCGGTTGGTTGTCCCGACGGTTGCCCCGACGGTTGCCCCGACGTTTGTCCCGACGGTTGTCCCGATGGTTTTTCCGACGGTTGTCCCGATGTTTTTCCCGACGGTCGTCCCGATGGTTGTCCCGACGGCTGTCCCGACTGTTGTCCTGATGGTTGTTCTGACGATTGTTTCGATGGTTGTCCCGACGGTTGTTATGACGATTGTCCTGATGGTTGTTCCGATAGTAATTCCGATGGTTGTTTCGATGAGTGTCCCGAATGTTGGCCCGAGGGTTTTCTCGATGGTTGTCCCGATGGTTGTCTCGATGGTTGTCCCGATCTTTGTCTTGATGGTTCTGCGAGGCCGTAATGCACGAAACATGCGCCTGATGCCGAAATTCGAAAATGTGCGCCCTTCGAGGCCATAGTATCGAACAAATGAGCCTTGCGGGGCAAGCGTACAGAAATGAGCACCGCGGAGCATGTGCTCGTTATTTGTAAAGTCACCTTGACGATCGATCTGGCACATATATGTTTATATTCACACATTTATGTACAACCGCATTTTTTAACTGTATATATATACATATGTGTGTATATATAGTTGGAAGTAGGTGTATCTGCAATGCTGTATATTTTTGTGTATGTG